GTAGTAGTAGTAGTAGTAGTAGTAGTAGTAGTAGTAGTATCGTAAAGTGGAAAACAGTAACGACAAACATTTATAAATGCCAAATATTAGTCTTTAATGTAAAAAATGATAATTTTTAAAACTTAGTATTGATTATCAATATTTGAAACTACTGTTCAAACATGTAACTGTCAACAATGATGATGTATCAAAAAAGTAAAAAAACAAATAAACATCACACCAAATAATTCCACCTTATTCATAATTTTACAGAACACAATAAGTATCCCTTTAATATCTGTGGATATTTATAATGCAGTAATACAGTACAATATTATATGTTAAAATATGTGTTTCCTAATCATTACTGTGCTTATGAGGTAGTAAACTAGTCTGAAATGTTTAATACACAAACAAATTTGTCTCAATATTTGGAAAGAAACTGGTCAGTTAGTCTCTTTTTTACATTAATTAATGCATAATAAACACTTTTTAATAATTTATAAAGTGTTTACAGATGAATTAATAACCTATCTATGAACTCTTTAAAAGACATCTATAAGGGGAACCTTATTGTAAAGTGGTGCCCAGATTTGAAACCAACAGTTAAAATATTTCCATTTTTTTCCCGTTTATCTGTGATCAGACTGCAGARGCAACAGTCCTGGAAGGTCACCAAGACATCCCTCTTCCACATTCTCCAGCTTCTCTTGAGGGATCCAAAAGCATTCCCAGGCCAATCTCAATATAATGTGTACCCTCATTTACCTACATTACACACACAGTATCATCACCTCCTTCATGTCTATAATACACATGCACACTGGAGAGGCAAGTTACCATGGTCCCTTTAGTTAACTCTTAAATAAAGTAAAGTATCTATTCAGTTCCATAAACAGGACAACAGGCACAYTGCTACTCCAGATGTTTGACATTCAGTTGGAGGCTCCCCTCCAACACTTAGGAGTACATTTTCTCAAGGGAAGGTGAAACACCTGAGTGAAGTCCCCCCCCCCCCACCACTTGTTCAAATCAAAGAAAACTGGTGTCAATCAATTGTGCTACGTTTGTGCTGTTTGTGCCTGCTCAAATTCTTGTTTGTGCTGCTTTTGTTTTGAAGATATTAACGAAAGTATACCAACATGAACTACATTTTGTTCATTGATCATATATGATATAAAGCTGTCTTTTATAATGCATTCATAAAAGCTGAATTTCCAAAACAGCTGTTCTCATTCACAAATTCTAATGCTTATCTCATCAAGGGGAGGAGAAAAATCTGATTCTGACTGAAAAGGGATGACTTCAGAACAATTGAGAAATTGTATTCACTTTTAATGCTTCTGTTAGCATCAGCTCATAGAATTTGCTAATGTTTACTTGGACAAAGTAACAGAAGGACTCCCAAATGCAATTTTTCTAAATACCGTATGGTCAAATAAACAACTGAACTTCAAGGGTTTTGTAAACAATTTTGGTCATGAGTTGGTAAAAATTGAATAACTGAAGCTTTTATACTTGTCTTTGCAGCATGTCCTGCCCATAAAC